TTAGTTATTAATAGTTAAGCATCCACCACTGAGTAATCTATTTTACTCACCTCGGGTGCCATAAATTCTGGAGTTCCGCAAAATGTGCGCATCTGGTTCCTGATTTCTGCGGGATGAGCATGAAACGTGCGAGTGATATGATTGAGCAAATTAGAGTTAGCGAACACACGAGGGGATCTTTGTCAGTTGCCAAACATGATTATCAACCGCCAAAATCACCAAATACACTACCTCCAAAACAACAACCCTATGACTTACCACCAAACAATTCCAGGAATCAAATGCCAGTAATAACATCACCTATTCCAGAAAGGCCTCATGGCGACCAACCACCAGTCATTCCAATGCATCCCCCTAAAGATAAATCCGATGTACCTATTCCGACACCATCACGTAAAGTTGGATTGGATGATTTTAACTTCCTTGCCGTTTTGGGTAAAGGAAATTTTGGCAAGGTTGATTAATATTTTAGTATTGATATATTTATGGATGTGTTTGACCGGCACCTTTAAATGATTTGCTTATTAAATGATTTTATAGGTTATGCTTGCCGAAGAAAAAAATACCAAAAGTCTTTATGCCATAAAAGTGTTGAAAAAAGAATTTATTATTGAAAACGATGAAGTTGAAAGGTGTGAATATAAACTAAGCTTATTATATTTCATTATTCTAATAGTAAATGTATTTGATTTAAATTTCACCCGGTAAATCAAAAGCACGCGTTCCGAAAAACGTGTTTTTCAAGCGGCTAATCGTGAACGTCACCCTTTTCTACTTGGCTTGCACTCTTGTTTCCAGACTGAAACCCGCATTTACTTTGTTATGGAGTATGTTAGCGGTGGTGATTTGATGTTACATATTCAAAGAGAACAATTCACTTATCGACGTGCACAGTAAGTGTCTCTTTATTTTGTTTTATGGGATGTTAGTATAAGCACGCATGAGAAGGAAGTATATACTAGCATATGATATTTTTATGTCGACAATAAAATTACCATTTTCAATTAATATGTTTATGTTGACAATCAAATTATGTTTTTCAATTATAAGGTTCTACGCCGCTGAAGTTCTACTTGCCTTAGAATATTTACACAAACAGGGCATTATATACCGTGATCTTAAACTTGATAATATATTGCTCACACTTGATGGGCATATTAAAATTGCTGATTATGGTCTTTGTAAAGAAAATATGGGATATGGTGATACGACAAACACATTTTGTGGAACTCCAGAATTTATGGCACCCGAGGTGAGTAAAATAGATTACTCAGTGGTGGATGCTTAACTATTAATAACTAA